CCCCCCCCCCCCCATGTTCAATTTTTCAGCTAAAACAATCCCAAGACTGGAGTTCAGTAATTCTTACCTTGGTGCAACACACCAATGTGTGTTGAAGGCGCCAGTTGAGGTGCATTTTGTGTTGAGGTGCACCGACGTTCCCCTTCAGACTGCTGGGTGGTGCTCCTCTTATTTCACACTAGTTTTTTTTTTTTTTTTTTTAAATGATGGGAAATCTCAAATGGATCAACTTGTCTTTTGGTTAAGCAGTAGGGAAAATCAGAATCCTTGTTCCAACCAGCTGAATGGTGGCACAGAGCAACAGGTGGGAGAAGAGTCTATGCTACATCTGTACGAAACTGGAAGTTGTCAGACATCTTGTTGAAAAGGACGTCCACCTGTATGAGAAATATTCCATAAAATGTTCCAGATCCTTGAATCCTTAGTTGTTCAAAGCCTTGGTGTTCAAATAACCGGCCCATGCCTAGATTGTTTTCACGACCCCATCTTCCTTCACAAGCAACAGCATATAAAACCACATTGTATGGAACTAGATTTTTATTTTTTATTTTTTTTGGATACCAATCGAATGCAGCTCACACTTCCCACTTTTTTTTTTTTTTGAGTTGGCATCCGTTGTGTCATATGCAAATATATTTTAACTTAAGTGAAGTCTTGGAGTATTCACTCTCCACATTGGAGATATAAGGACGGAGTCAAATCTTTGTGCTAACACTAAGCGACAAGTTCCGACCAACTAACAGGTTTACCTCAGATTCATCGGACGTGGAGAACAGGGACGTCTTCAGGCCGTTTTGTCTTGACAGAACAGCCGTGTAAAAAGCTCTGCTTGGCATTCGGATGTTCGATTGGCTTTTGGCCTCGCGTTGTAATTTTCTAGAAGGTTGATGGGAGAAAAAAAAAGCATTTGAGGTCTTGTTATAGTTGTGGACATTGAAATTAATTTTGTGGTAGCAATAAATCAAGGAACTGTGATTAGGCTTTATCTTGTATTACCTTAGTGCATTAATGTTTTTGTTTGCTTGTCTATGCTTGTGGGGGGTGGGGGGGCTGTTAGTACTAGTCATTGTTTGGCGGTTGCATGGGTGCAGACTTGGACTGATGTGTAATTTGGTGCAGATTATGTGTGATGCCAATGTGCCTGTGGCTAAAAAAAAAAAAAAAAGGGAGAGGGGGCATCCAAATCCACATCTCCTCATGAAGAACATTTGAAATGTCAGCTCAGCATTGCACTGAATTGCTATTCACTTCGGTTGTCCTTAACTGCAAACTTTACGATGCACCCTTTCAAACAAGACCTACGCAAGGGTCTGGAGTTTGTTCTAACAGCCATGAATCTTGTTTTTTTTTTGTTTTTTTTTGTACCACGCCGTCACTCGGGCACAAACTGGTGCTGCTTTTTTTAGACAATCTCGTGTAAAAAGAAAAAAACCCACAATCGACTTGTCCTCCCTGTCAAAGTGATTTGATTTTTTTTTCCTTTCCAGTGCTCAGTTTTCTTATGCAGGTTCTCATGTCATCAAAGCACTTCACGTGTTTGTTTGTTTTTTTGACATTACCAGAAAAGAGTGTCCCTCTATTTTCTAAAACGTTTCAGTAAATATATAGATGTATAGCAATCAACAAGAAGGTTTACATGGAAATGAATCTTTTAACGAGTCACATTCAGCAAGGACTTTGAGGACATGTTTACTTCTCTGAGAGAAGGTCCACTGTTCGAAAGACATTAAGCTGATTTTAATCACACTGCTTGAACAATAACCTCCAAAAGACACTCCTTCACTAGTGATCTGTGTGGTCCGAGCTTCACCAACATGGCTCCAACGTGGCCACTCGAGAACCAGGAACGGAGAACTCTCAGGATTTCTACTGATACACAGTACTGTATTTAATTTTGTTTTGTGATGTGTAATATACTGTACCATAGGTTTGCTGTACTTGCACAGTTTTCTAAACTTATATTCAGTTTCTTTTGTAACTTGAAAAAAAAATAGATGTGATTTCCTTTTTCTCGTCTCAAGTGGCTGTTTTATTATTTTCTTTCCTTATGTGATTATCTAATTTGTTATTGTAGTGTAATCCTCTTACGAGAAAAAAAAGGTTACCTGCACGAGTGCTAAATTAGATTTATTTTGTCCTGCCCTGTAGTACATTAGCTTTTGTAACATCTTGCGACATCTTTTGATTATTTTTAACACCAGTCTTGCCATAACAAGCTAAAACAAACCGCTTTCTGTGTCATGAGAAGCTTGTTCAGATCAGCTATATGTATTGTTCATTGGTGCTATTCCATTGTTTTAATTTCTTTCCCTCGCTTTTACTTTAAAATATTTGTTTTGTTTTTTCTTTGGGTTTCAGGTTATAGTGGTTGTTGAGCTCAACTGTGAACTTCACATTGCACATAAATGAATAATAATAAAAAAAAATTATAAAGATTGAAGTTTATTTGTTTTACATTTGACATGCGAGTCGTGACTGTTGGGTCTAGACAAGAGAGGAAGAGAGCTTCACTCAGGTCCTCCAAAACAGCGACAAGTGGAGAAAAGCCCTCGGGTCAAACGGTGGAACATGTGACCAGGCGTCCAATGAAGAAGGCTGCTGCTCAAACTTCTGTCTTTGTTTCTTCGGGGCTCTCAGACGGTCTCCAGCCGCGCTCTGTGAAAGGTAAGGCGACAGTTTCGCGGGGTGTTTCTCGAGACAAGTGCTAGGATCCACGCCACGTTTTGTTTTCAGGGTTTCGATTACCGGCCCACGTGCGAACAATAACCCAACTCCGCGTGCTCGTTTTTTTTGTTTTTTTTTGAGCTTTTGAAACTTGGTCTTAGTGCTTTTCCCATCTGAAAATACGCACCTTTTGAATTAACCGTACTGTCGGACGTATCTGTAGCGAAGTTGTTTTTAATCCTTGGCGTGAAGATGACGTAAAAGCTGACGTTTTCTGTTAGGCTGCAAACAAAACAAAAAGTTGGGGCCGAAGCTGTAACATTTGAAGGGGGCATTATTCTACAGCTTTTAAACGGAATCCACCATTAGATGCTTCAGTGCGTTCAATATCGACGTTTCGTGACGTTACAACAACCCAGTCTACTTTGTTGGTTCCTTTGTAGATTTTTTTTTTTCCCCAAGTGCGTCTGAAAAGTGTGGTGTGCACATGCACAGTTGCATTCAGAAGTCACCTAGCTAGTAAATGGAGTCTAACTTTGCTTAATTTAATGTCTGTGTACATGCAGCTGTTCTGTGAGGGCCTTGGAGTTAGAAAATTAATTCTATTGTTGCACATAAATAAAAGAAGGCGCAACAGATCAGATTAACATCCTTTTTAACTCATTCTAAATGGGGACCGTTGACAGAAATATGCCGTTAGCTTTGCAACAATCGGTCATACTGAGCATGTATGTGGTGACAGTGGAAAGGAGAACTCCTGTTAAACATTAATAACACGTCTGGTAGAAAGCGCCTCATTTTGAGCTGCCATCTGATTGACAGGGTTGAACAGGCAGCCTCACAAAGACCAAGGAACAAAGTAGACGGGTCAGGAATAAACTTTTGAAGAAGTTTAGAGCAAAGATTCAAGCCCGCATCCTAAAATGGAGAAAGCAGAGCAGAACTCAAGCGATGATACATGGTTTGTTAGCTTAAGCACATTTTCAATTGTATCCTATTCTATCATAGTGACAGATTCTTGGTTTTATTATTTTTAAATTATTCTCTTTTAAAGGAAGACCTTGCTTTAGCTCCATTTGTGTTTGTTCTTTGACAACTCATTAATGTCATCCACTCAGAACAGAAAGATGCCGCCTGCGCCGGCAGATGTGTTGGGTCCCAAGCCTGTGGACGGGGGCTGGGGCTGGATGGTGGTGCTCGGCGCCCACATTTCCATTGGATTCGCATATTCCACTCCCAAAGCCCTGTCCATTTTCTTCAAGCCGATCAAAGAAGACTTGGGGGCCAGCTACAGTGAAATAGCATGGATTTCCTCCATCATGCTGGCTGTAATGTATGCAGGCGGTGAGTTTTTATTATGTTGCCCTGTTCAAACAGAGAAATAACTACAGCTATCAGGATGTTCAATGGTCAACAAACAAGTTTAAATGACCTAATCATGGAACATGAGGTATAATGAACTCCTAGTCTTTTTTTTTTTTTTTTTTTTTACATATTTATACTGAGGTGAGACAGGATTAGGGGTTTTAAATACAACAGTATGGCAGGGTTATGTAACATGATATAAAACTGATGTCTGGGTAAGTACACACACACATTTCTGCAAAATGTTTTTTCAAATCGATATACAAAACACTGTTCTGGCTCAACAGTTTGATTCAAAAATTAAACTTGTGCAAACGTTTACCATTTTCATTGCATAATAGTGTTTTTTTTTTTTTTTTTTTTTTTTTTTTTATCAGCTGACGTTTACTTAGAGCTGCAGTGAGCCCAAAAAGGACACGTGTCCTAAAAGCTGTGATCCATCACAAGGTCTGCAGTGTGCAGCTTTAAATCAGCATCTTTTACAGAATCAAACAGTGTGGAATGTGGAGTGGTTTAAAAGTGTTACAACAATAGTTAGGATTCATATATATATATATATATATATATATATATATATATATATGATGTTAGAAAACAGCTTATTGCAGTGGCTCTCATGCCAATAAGTAAACTAAGGCTTCATTTTGGCTAAACCATAGAATCCAGCTAGCTACCTTAAGTCGGCAAAACGGCAGAGTCTCTTTGTGTGGAAAAGTTAACTTAGAAAGATGTGACACTGTTTTGCTTTAGATAAAATTAAAATTACAGAATTGCTCTTTTTAGCAGTGCGATCCCATGTTGCAGTTAAAATGCTCAAACAGAAATGTATGAACACCTAAGACACAGCTGAAAATAGTCAACAGTCTGTGGTGTGCATTTCCTGAAGCGGTTTTATTACCGAAACTATAGAAAATAAACCCAAACATGTCACATTAAAGCTTAAATTGTTCCTTGAAAAAAATATTTTTCTTCACAAAGAGAGCAACCAGTGTGTGGTTGTACAGTCAACTCATTCCTACAGACAGATAATGGATAAATTGGCCTCACATGAGTGGCTTCGCTCACTGACGTAGCTTTAGGGGGGCTAATAGGAGAAGTGTTGCCAGTGTTATTTAGTCACCTGACCCAAATTCAAAACTCATTAGGAATATGCCCTTTTTCTCATTTATCTTCTGCTACATTCAGGGAGACGTTCATATTTTTGCAGTTTTTTTTCTCACATTAAAATGACTTCTCTGATCCCAGAAGTTCTTTTCCCTCTCTCTCATTATTCTGGCATTTGGCAAAGAGATGATTTTGCGAACCCTTTACTGACGTGAAACGGGGAAAGTTTAGTCTGATTTATTGTCAGACATTTAAAAGAAGAGTTAAGTGCCTTTTTATGAAGTGCTTGTAAATGTCTGGTTTCAAACGTCGGTAGCATGAGGCCATTGTAGCCAATCCTCCTTCACTTGGTTGGACCGCTCTGCAGCTACTCCTGCAAATTCACTACAGACGCCTTTTTCCTCCGCTGCTGTACACACATGTATATAAATACAAAACTATATTCATGAAGGCAAAAGCAGTTAGCCACAATGTTTGCTAATCATGTAGCAGATATTTTTTGCTCTTTGTGATTTTCTGTTTTTATATGTTGTTTTAATCAACTCATATCTTTGATCACATAGGTGTTGTGTAGTAATCACTCTCATTATTTGGTTTTACTTATTTGGCATTATGTGTGTCGTGCCCCACCTCTTACCGCTTCTTGTCCTTTTCCCTTTGTGTTCTTATAATTGTTGCGGGCTGTCTAGTATACTGCCCGAGTCAAATACAGGCTGTTGTGTCGTTAATTTAAAAACTTCAAATGTGCAACAAGGGAAATGTGTGTTGTTTTTTTTTTTCTTTCTTTTCCCCTGCTGTCAAACAAATCCGCCTCTGACACTACAGAGCAACCAGACCCACCAAACTGTTTCCCTAAGCTGCCAGGGCAGGGCACAAAAAAAAAAAAAAACGTGCATCACATTTCAATCTGTGGGGATTTGGGTCACAGGTAGATGACACAAAATATGACTAAATAAAAGTGTTGTGGAGGCTTCACATGAGCTCGTCGGTGGCTGCTTTCAAGGTGACAGGAAAGCGGGGCATGTAATCTACCTGTGCTCAGCTCAGGGAGGCCTAAGCGGTGAAATATACGGCTCCGCCGTGGCTCAGGCACAGGACTTTATCATATTGTCCTTGGCGAGGCTTCAGCAATGTCACCCAGTGGAGGAGAGGGACAGTGGGATATATCAGAGGAAGGTTCAGCACACTGGGGTCTAACACCGGGTCCCCATGGGAGAGACATGACAGCCTCTTCAGAAAACCTCTGACTCAAGGAGTCTGAATGATAAACCTATAATGGAAATGGAAATGGTTGCAGAAAGAGAGATGGTCTGCGGGGACGCGGCTGCACTGAGAATGATGAGCCATCTTTGACCCCTCCTGGCACCCCCTTAATGGTTAAAAAAAATAAATAAATAAATATATATATATATATATATATATTTATGTATAGTAAATAGAGTTTGGAAAGATTCGTTTTGAAGATCACATAGAGAGAATTTTCTTTTCAGTCTTTACTCGCATATATGGAAATAAACAGGGCGGTTTTAGGGAGGCATCTGGAAGTTATTTGAGCTGTAATTTAAACATTAATCATCAATCGATCACTGAATGAAGCTTTGCTTGTGCAGCACTTTCCTTTTCATACAAGTAAATCTAACACAATGTGCTTTACATAGTTTAAAAAAGAATTCAATGATTATCAATCAGTTTATTCAGATCTTAAAGCAGCTGCAGACTGCAAAGATTTTGTGACGTTTTATTCTTGGCTTAAACATTGCCTTTCGCTTTACTTGTATTTACAACTACCGGTGGTGTCAATTATCATTAAACTCATCAGTAAAATAATTTCTGTATTATTAATTGGAGTGATTAATCATATTTTTGAGACATTACCAAATTTCTTACCAGTCTCCTTCTTGTAGTCATAAATTATTGAAATTAGAGCGCGGGAAAAAGTTACAAATTAAGTTTTTTTTACTTGTTGTTTAAGTCTGCGTTGATTCAATTGACTCACTATTTTCTCAATTAACACAAGTTTATAATGCCTTAAATACAAACATGTTTTATATTTTTCAAAACCAGTAATGTTTTGCTAATGTTGCACATTTTAGAACATCCTCACATATTAGAAAATAACGGCCTCAGATGTCAGAACATCCATCAGACCTTTTGACTAAATGGCATCAGAATAAAAACGTCTTGGCAAAAATGGCTTCAGAAAAAAAAATAATGCAGCCGCTTCAGATGAGATGGCAGAAAATTTTTATTTTGATGCGTTTTTCTTCCTGAGACATTTTCATCTGAAACCAATTTTCTCAAGACCTTTTTGTGTTTGTGACAAAATATGGTTATTATTATATTTTATCACAATATTTTGTGGCACTATTGTGATGATAAAAAGTATTTATTTGCACCTACTTTGCAATTTTTTTTCTTAGCTCAGTGTGTTTCTGCCAGACAGGAAATTTCTGCTCTTTAAGAAAACAGGCGTTTTAAACGGGCTTCATCAGGCACCAGTTAGACAAAGAAGTAGGTTTTCTATCACAAAACTGCTCAGAGCCACCAACCACATTTACCAGACAACAGAGCGCACCTGATTAAAAGTTGCATGCTCTAATTTCAGAAAGAAAATCAATTTTGTACTCTACAAGCCACACCGGATTTAAAGCCGTTGCAATGTGAGATATTTAAACAGCAAGGTGTTACACGTGAAGATTTTTTTAACTTTTAATTTAATCTATATGGTAACATAAACAAATGCATATTGCAAATGCTTTTTTTCAAACAGTGCCTGCTACTTTTAAATATACGCAGATGGAACTACAAAGCTTTCCAGGGCACAGGCCCCCTCTCCACCGCTGCATCTGACCCACATGAGCTCAACCACATCCCCAACGCGTTACGCGCGTCATGTCCTCCTCACTGGAGGAAATGGAAAAATGAAAAAAGTGGAGACATTACAAAGAAGTGTAATAAAAGACTATCCCAGTTATTGTTTTCCCCTCCTCTTCACCAGGTCCCGTGAGCAGCGTGTTGGTCCGTCGCTTTGGAAGTCGACCAGTGGTCATGGTGGGCGGACTGATGTGTGGGGTTTCTATGGTAACGGCCTCATTTGGGAGCTCCATCGTTTACCTCTACCTTTGCATTGGCATTATTGGAGGTATAGTTCAGTTTTTTGGGTTTTTTTTGGTATCATAAATGTGATTATTTTGGCTGCTTTTTGCAACACCTTAACTGCCTGAATGTTGTCCGACAATATTTATTTAACTTATTTTGAGATCCAAATCACTTTCTCTTGCTTGGCGTTTTGCTAAGTGTTTCTGTTCTCAGTGGACTATTCGCTTGGAGGCAGAGGAATTTGCAGAGGTTTTTTTTTTTGTAATTGCTAAGAAGCTCTTGGTGCAGAGCTGCCTCCACCGATTTGGCCTCTGTGCCTTTTGTTCCTGGGCTTTGGGCATCTGCCTCAGCTCCTGAGGTGCAGTTAGAGCGGCATGAGAACCAGCGCCATGACAGTAATTAAGACAGAACTATCTCTGATCCCAGAGAGCACAGGCTTTAATCGGCCTCCGTTGCCTTCCTGCAGTCTCCAATCACGGGCGTCGCATGGGGGCCCTCTGCCACCCTACGAGGCTCATTACTCCGCCAAAGGTTCCTATGAAGCATTAATAGTCCCAGCAAGTGGCTAAGCTGTGTCCTGTGCCCAGGGGGACCGCTTTGCTCCCTTGAGCCCTTGCATAGTGACAATATGGCATCATTCAGCTTTATCTAGTAAAGGTAGCTAAATGGACAAGCATTTACTGCAAAAACCTTAAGACTTTTTCATTTTTTCCCCCCTCTTACTCTAATGTTCTTTCTACCCCTTGAGATTCAGTAAAGACGATAGTCAGTGATTTACACAACAGGAAATAGTTCAGTACTTTTTGCTGCATCTCGTTAAAATTACCTTAAACCGTGGAAAAGGGGGGGAAAGAGGGAAAATTTTAGTTGTTTTGAAACCGTAACTCTTCAAAACCTTCGTAAACCTTGTTACCAGGTACCAACCAATGCCCACTTGCTACATAATACGTATTTAACCATATGATCTTTTTTTTCTTCACAAAAATTCATCATCATATTAGTGTAACTCTAATGTAAATTATATCAGCTTCATCACTCTTGTTTTCCCTGTTATAGTTAATATCTTCTGCATTGCATTGTTTGAAGTCCACAGCCTTAACAAATAATACCAAATGTAAGTAATTACATTTGGCTTACAGTTGTTATTATTGAAGTTCAGCATTACGTGCTTAGGTTATCATTGTGAAGGCTTAGATGAAGTTGTTCTGCTCTATTGATGCTACAAAACAGAAACTCGACTAAATTCTGCATATAGTCTTGCATAAAATAAATCTTTGTGATATTGTGTGTAGATAAAGCTGGCATCAAGATGAACATGCAACTCATACTGTTCTGAAAATTACATCCAACAAGCTAAAAGCTAGCTTATCTAACATTGGCATGTTTGTTTTCTTTCTGTATGTGAAAACAAAAACACATTTAAAATTAAAAAAAAGCTCTCATCTATTATTCTAAAGTCATTCCTGCTTTCCTTTCATCACCTGCTGCTCAGATCTTTGTCTAGCGGAAACGGACATTGGTCCTGAAAATATATATTTTTAAAAAACACACTAAATACTATTAATACCGAATTTTACAAACTAAAACCAGACACTGTTTCCCTGCTACGTCAAAGTTAGTTTACGAAAAATAATGAGTTTGAGCGACTTACCTGTGAACTCGGACCAGAGCAGTAAATTGACATTGGAAGGAGAAAATCTAGCGCTGCAACCATGTAGCTGTAGCTCTTCATCTTCCTTAAATTAAGGCGCTATTAAATTAATATGTTCAGAGCAGAAGGTAGGAGAGTGAATGTATTACCCAGGCTACCTAATTTATTTCTACTTAAATGGAGAAATTATTTCTGAAATAATTCCAGCATTCTGTAATGAGGTTTTAGCCGGCAAAACTAAAATGAGATGAAACCTAAATGAACACGGAGCACAATCAGTTCTGATTTAATTTAGGAAAGGACCCTCTAGAGTTTAGCTTCAGCACAGCTTTTCCTGCTTAAGCACTTTAAATGTAACTCTCTTTTATTTATTTTTAATTTTTTCCTCCCCCCATACAGGCTGGGGACTCTGCTTTAACCTGAACGCGTCTCTCACCATCATCAGTAAATATTTCCTCGCCAAGCGACCGTTGGCCAACGGCCTCGCCATGGCCGGCAGTCCAGTGTTCCTTTGTTTCCTGGCCCCGGTCAACCAGTATCTGTTAGGACACTTTGGCTGGAGAGGAAGCCTGCTCATCCTCGGGGGTATGATGTTAAACTGCTGCGTTGCGGGGGCCGTAATGAGACCCGTCGCTCGGCACTCTGCGCCACCGAAGGAAGTGGACCAGTCAAACAACACAAAGTCGAAAGGGAGCCTTCTGAAAAAAGCTAAGACCTTTGTGGATCTGTCGTCCTTCAAGGATCCGGGCTTTATCATTTACCTCGTTGGAAACGTGATGTTCATCTTTGGCGCCTACGCGCCCATCGTGTTTTTGTCGGCGTACGCAGTCAGCCGAGGCGTAGAAGAGTACTCTGCCGCCTATCTGCTCTCCGTCATGGGCTTCGTCGACATGTTTGTTCGGCCTCTCACGGGGCTGGTAGCCAACAGCAAGTGGGTCAGGCCGAGGATCCAGTACCTCTTCAGCTTCGCCATGGTCTTCAATGGCACGGTCCACCTCCTCTGCCCCCTGATGAGGACCTACCCGCTGCTGGTGGCCTACGCTGTGTTCTTTGGAGTGGGCTTTGGGATGGTTTTCGCACTGATATTTGAATGCCTCATGGACCTGATGGGAAACCAGCGCTTCCCCAGTGCTGTTGGACTGGTGACCATCATAGAGTGCTTCCCCATGCTCTTGGGACCGCCGGCTGCAGGTAACGTACCCTCAATAAGTGATTTGTCTGTGTGTCTCGCCATGTGCACAAACCTCACTCTTTGTCTCAGAATTATACAACTAGATCTGCTCTCAGATCGCTGCTGCCAAATATTGCAACATCGTAGACCAGGGGTCCCCAAACTACGGCCCGCGGGCCGGATCCGGCCCGCCTCCCCATTTGGTCCGGCCCCCTGAACAATACCAGAGAGCATTCAGTGTTTTTTTTCATATATATATGTGGATTTTTCTTCAACCACCAGGGGAGCTCTTGAGCAGATATGAAACTTGGTTTCCCTCAATGGAATATATACTAGTCAGTACCAGTCACCGTTTCGCTCACGGTTTTTTTCCCATTTGCATTCTGGGTAAAAATCTATCTACAAACGCGAATATATTGTCGGCAGTAATCCAATCCCAATTCCCCCCCCGGTCCACAGTTTCACTCTCCCTGAAACTGTGTGCAAGCTACTTCCGAACATGCAATACCTAAGTGTCTAAACCTTAGAATTACTTTAATGTTGTTTTTACTTTAAAAGAGAGAGATGAATTATTACTACTGAGCTTTGGCTGTTTAGGATTTTATGAAAGGCCCAGTTTGGTAAGGGTCTCATCGTTCTCTGTGTCCGCAAACGTTGGCCACTTTCAGTTGAATTGCACGCAGATTTCTTTGCAGCCCAGTAGAGGGCGATAATGGGCTGACTTGTCAACTGTTTAATCTGAAAAGGAGGAGAGAAAAAAAATAACTCAAAGGAAAGATGAAAATTCCCTATGCAAATCCAGTTTTTGTGTGCTTGTAGGTAAATTATCCAAACTAGAAAAACATCATGACCTGCCCCACGCTCCTATATCCATGTTGTTGTTCTTCTTCTGCTCAGGCAGGCCTTTATATAAATGAAACTATTAGCAGTGTAAACTATACCAGCCAGTTTTAATCTCCTGCTTGGATATTTACTTTTTTATTTCTCCTTTGAGACCCACAAAATATTCAGACATTTGTAAGGTAAGAGAATAAGGCAAAATTTCAGATGTTTTTGATGTAACCAAGGATCGTTCTTAACTTTGTTGCAGAATATTCATTGTGTGGGTTTTTTATTTTTGCAGCGGTTCTATTATCCTCTGCTTAGATTGTTTTCTGTTTTGTTTTAGTGTCATTAGAAATCCAGTGGCGTAGCGTTAGCAGCTAAAGCTGCTCAGCTTGATGAAAAAGCAAAGATGAGGGTTTTCGACAGATAAACTTTCTCTCCGCTTTTTCGCTAAAGTGAAAAGTTTTGACCGGGAGCGACCCCCTTTCTGAGGGGCCCCTTTTAATGGGGCCAAATAAGTGGCTCCTTGCTTGTGTAACGTTCTCCTCCAGAGGGCACAATCGTTATGTATCCCGTATCTGCTTGTTACTGCTCCTCAAAAACCTTCAGGTCAAGCCAATTAGGAGGAAGTGAGGTAAGTGAGAGTAATTAGCCTTTTGCGTTGGGTGTTTAATGATGCTCAGTTCAAACTCTCGTCATTAAAGTCCTGTACCTGGGCCATAATTAGGCTGCGAAGGCACTAAAAAAAAGAGAAAGGGGTGACTATACCAGATGGACATAATTACTGCTCAGCCAATCAAGGACTGTCTTAATGAGGGTGGTGGTCATCTGAGCACCGGCACCAGATGAGTGCTATCAATCAGATAATGCATTGAGAGGCAGAATGAAAAATGACCCCTCACGGTGCAGACGCGTACACAAATATTATGCCCATCATCATCTGCTGCTGCAAAGCTGGAATGTGATGAGAGAAACCTTTAATGGTCCTTTCACCCTAAAACACTCTCTTTCAATGTGAGGGGTTCTGTAATGTGGTAGTTAGTTGGTTTATCTAAGAAGTTCATAGAAAAGACTTGATTTTTTTTTTAAGTAGGTCATCTATAGTATGATAAAACAGGATTCTTGCAAACGTCTCCATGTTTAATTATTCTCCCTCAGTTTCTGTTTTCCAGTCTCTTTTGATTGAATTTCCAAAGTAGAAATACGAAACATATGAATATCCGTGTTCGTCCATGTTTGTCCGTGTTGGATTTTTCCATCTTTGTCCGGCACTACCTTCTCCGCCTGTTGGTGAAGGCAGCCCAGGCTCTTTGGTTTCTGGAAACCTGGAGCTTTAAGTCTAATCTGAAGCACATTTGTCACCTTTCTGCAGACCCTTTCTGCGTATTTATGTTTCTGAGAACGGCCTTCGCTTCTGCCGTCCAAATTGTCTTAAACAGAAACCGTTCAGTGGCTCTGTTAGCTCCAAAGCAGCTCCTCTCAGATTAGCCTGTCCTCGCTCGTTTCCTACTGCACACACATATAAGAATCTGGTTGGTTCCAGTTCACCCCCAAACTTATAATAAAGTGGTTAAACTGGCTTTCTTTTCCTGCTTCGACTTTGAATTTGCATGTTTCTGTTCCAGGGCTGCTGGTGGACATCTTTGATGACTACAAGTACCTTTTCTTCATGTGTGGAGGAGTGATCACGACCGGTGGGCTCTTCCTCTTCGTCATGAACGTCTACAACTACAACAGGTTAGAGAAAGCGAATAGAGGAAGAGACACGGCGCAGAACCACAACACCGTAGAGAACCAGGAGCAGGCGAGCAGCTCCGAGGCTCAGGTGGAACTGATGAACACGGCCCAACCAGAACCAGAACCAGAGCCCACAGAAGAAACTCGCTAAGCCAGTGAAGGTAACGCTCACAGATTGGTAGTAACCAGCTACATTTACTCAATTACATTTACTTCAGTAACGTTTTTGGAGAAAACAACCACCACAAAAAAAAAAAAACACTTCTATGTGTACTTTAATTATGCATATCTTTTTACTATTACTTGAGTAATTTTATTACGAAGTATTTCTACTCCTACTTGAATAAAATTTCTGGATTCTCTACTGAATAAAAAAACAAACATGTTTTAACCAAAAATTCACCAGACAGAGACACACCTGCTGTTTTTTGTTAAAGTTTCATAAGTTTTTTTTATCCAGTTAATCTAATTTGGGAAAAAAAATTATTTTGCCTTTTTTTAAAATCTTTTATTTATATGAATGATGGTCATTTTCATCCTTAAAATACCCCCAAAAATCCACATATCTTTATAATTTGGTCCATCTGAAAATGTGATTTTTCAAACATTAAATGATTGATAATTCAATCAGCCACTCACTACTTGAGTAAAGTTTTTACCAAATACTTTTTTACTCTTAATTAACTAGAAACGGCTACTTTTTACTTTTACTTGAGTGAGTATATTTTGCAGTAGTGCTGTTCTTTCGGGTACTCTGCCCACCTTTGGTGATACTGTATGGTTTAATTCATGCTTTATTGTTAGCAGCATTATCTCAAACTTTGAAGAAGTCAAACCTTTAATGTTAGTAAATAGTGTTTACTTTTATGGAGACTCTGTATTTCCAATGCATCAACATGCCAGTTCTCTAACAGTGAGCTATGGAGGATTTGCTGAATCTGGCCTTTGGGTCCCATCAAATATCACCTTTGTGAAAAACTAAAACTAAATATGCACTTGACGTAGCAGATTTTGCTAAAAACTGCTATTTGAGTTTTTACCCACTGATTAATTGAAAGGCTGCATTTTTTTTCCACATTTCCATGTTTATCTGATCTTCACCCATCAGGATCCAGTCAGTTTGTCTGTTTCTGTAGAATTTGTTCACACCCACTGACTGAGCCTGTTGCTAAGATACCTCAAGACGACAGCCATATTTGGAGGGACATGATGGATTTTTGAAGTAAATAGAGGAGGTGTGATGTCAACAGATTTATTTTTCCTATCTTAAGTGTAAGGTTTTTGTTTGTTTTTTCTGTCCAGAATATAAAGTCATATTTTGTTGTGCTGTTACATGTGAGGCAGTGAGAATGAACATGATTCAAAAAAAAAAAAATACTGTTGGGCTTTTAAGACAATTCCCTAAATACTGGAGAAACATTTACATAATTCATAGAACTGTAAAAAATGAATTGAATTTCTTCCTTTTCAAATTCATTTCATCATGTTATTATGTTCTTGTCTAGGTCATATACTGTAGGATATCTGTTGCTTATTTCATATATAAAAAAGTTAATGTGAACTTAATGTGTTGCAATCTAAGAGGCATAACAACTTAAAACAGATAAACACCTTCAGCTGGTTTTTGTTTGCAGAATATATAAAAAAAGTATAAATTAAAGTGTGCACTCATTAGAATTTATTCCCCAAATAAAATCATTTTATTTAACTTAAGTATTGTGGCATTTCAACTAATGTAAATTATGACAAAAAATATTACTACCACCAAGTAGTGGTGGCAGCGTCAACATGCTGTGCTAAAAGGTCAACGTCTTGCATTACCTGAGTAACATCAGAGTCCAGACAGGGTCCCTGTCCAACATGGCGGGTCATTTAAACACAGTCTGACGCAGTGTGTCGTTATTCCATGTTTATCAGTGTGTGTGTGTGTGTGCATGCGTTTATTATTTTATAATTCCTCATAGAATTAAAAAGATTTATTAGAGCAATAAAAATGATGCATCCTTTGGAAACGGTAAACACGAGTTAGTCAATGACATTTTGCCAATGTGAGGGAGTTTTATGCTATTCAACTGGAAGATGTGTATATAAAACATTCCTAAATCTACAATGATGTAAAAAAATAAAAATAAAAATTTTGTTTTTGCTTTTTTTTGTCTCACTTAAATAGTTTAGATCAAAGAAGTTTGATTATCAGGGGGGGGGAAACCTGTGTAAGTAAATGTTTATTAAATCAAACCAATGATTGCACTGCTTCGAAAATTGAAAGAAAGGGAAAGAAGAATAGCCATGCGACTGGCCTCATGGGAAAAAAGTAATTGCCTTCTAAACCCAACAACTGCTTCTGTACCAAGTCTTCTACATTGCTGCAGAGAAATCATTCTTTGCAGACATGTTTTAATTTAGCTACATTAGTGGGTTTTTGAAATGTTAAGATCAGAACATCTCAAGTCTAATGTGAGATCGTTCTCCCTACTTCATGTTGCCAGACGGCTGCTATTTATGTGACTTCTTGACTCCCTAGGTCTGAAACTAGACTCGGCTTTCACACAAATGTGGTTAATTGCAGTTAATTCATGATTGAAAAGCAGGGAGGTAAATACTTTCTTTCATGTGGCTACGATGGTTTGGTGAGCTTTTTTATTTTAGAAAAATAAAAACTGCATTTTCTCTGGTTATCTTTGTCTGATGATGAAATATGTTTAACGATCTGAAACGAATTTAGGCCAAAAAAAAAAAAAAAAAAAAAAATCTGTAAGGATGCAAATAATTTTTACAGCACTCTAGCTCCAGTGTTTCAGTCAAGATGGCAGCTTTTCTATTGCTTTAATAATCCCTAAAGACATTTTCACACATGTATGAACAGTCTCCACTGTTGACCCTAATAAATCAGTTGTTTAAAACTCTGCTCTTGATGCCCTTTCTGTTTCATAAACCCCATTGTTCACCGGCGGCGTCGGGATCTCGCCCCTCCTTGCGTCTTGCGCCATCAGGGACGAACGAAAGCATCCCGGTGTCACCAAATGACACCGGGACGCGTGAGAAATGCCATCGGATCGAGGCCCAGCGCCCGAGCTCCTCAGCGTTGGGCGACTCCGTCCAATTTTTCATGACAATTAGAAGACTGGGGAACAAGTTTGGAAATGTCAGCAGCTTAAGGGTGTGAGCGCCTAATGAAGCGAGGCCCCCACGTTCCAGGCGAGCGCTCGGAGCTGCATGCAGCCTCATACACATCAGCAAATCATTGGGCCAATAAATTAGACCGGCAGCAGCGGCAAACATACACAACTTTTTTTTTTTTGTCTATTTCCTGTCCTTTTGTCTAGTGCCGCAGCACAAGGTCTTTGGACATGACAAGGTGGAAAGGTCCCCCTGAGACAAAGCTGCGGACGCCGTGGCCGGGGGTCTGTTTGTCATTATTATATTCCATCTCACCTCCTGCTTCCCCCCTCTGGCCCGCTGACCCTCCTCCTCTGCCAGTGCGGGGTTTGCTCCGTGACTGTTGTCCTCCCTGCTTAGAGATATAAAAAAAAAAAAACCCCAAAAAACAACTTGTGTCTCTCTCCAGAGGGCCGGGAAGAAGATCGGGTCAAAGAATGTAGAGCAACAGAAACATCAGCCGTCGTGAATAACAAACTGTAAGGTTGCCTATTGCGGCGCTCCGCTGTGTGGAAATGTCAGTGCTGCTGCAGAGGTGTGAGGGTCCGATGGCCGCAAGTCGCAGAAAATTTCCATCCTAGATTACTTCTGAGGAGGAGGGAACAGTAGAAGTAAGCAAACAGTAGAATACTGGCTCTTAATATTTTACATAGCTCTCTGTTGCATGTGAAAGACTAACACAAAGTTATATAATTAGACATCTGAAAAGTGTGGCTTGCATATGAATTCAGCCCCCATGATTCTCTGACACATCATGTGTCTCTAGAGTAACAGGTTCTCTTAATGGGAACAGACAGCAGCCAATCAGAGGATGCTGCAGAACCCGAACGGTGCCGTCTTCCCTCTTTCCCTACCGCCACCATTTTCTATGCGTTTTTTCAAGAACAAGAGATTTTAAAGAGTTGCATTTAAACTAGATTTGCAAGTTTTGTGTTTTACAGCGCTGAACACATTGTTAGATGACAAAATTTAATTTTTCATATTTTGAAGTCCGTAATGTTCCAAAATGAATGTTTGAGGGAATTATGTTTAGTTATTATAGTGTTTTTTGAGATGCATCTTATTAGGTGTTAATTTCTTTCTGTTTGTACAGATTTTCAGTAAGTAGACACTGGATTGGTAGTTTAAAACCTTACTGAGATAATTATCTAAGTTGTTCAATGAAAACAAATATGTATTTTTTTGCCAAAACACCCAGCTGTATTTGTTCTTTTTTTATGTATATGTGAACCATAAGTCTGTTCAATCAATCAATCTACAATATACAGTAGAAAAAAAATTATATATATGTAGTCTACATATTTGAGACCAAAACTCAAATATGTAGACTACGTGCAAATCACTGTTTGGTGGAAAACTAACATCACACATGTCTCTGAACACACTTTGAATTATTATGGCAGCATGATTCTGTGTGGTCTTTTTTTTCTCCAATAACTATTAGCTAATGAGCAAAATATTGATCAAACTTGGAAGAAACCTGTTGGAGGAAAAGACATGAGACTGAGGTCTGTCACATTCAATCCTGGTAAACTGCGTTGAAGTTTGTGGTTGTAAAGTGACAAACTATGAACTAGTCCTTTACAGGATGTAATTTACTTCCAAAAATGACAAAAGCAGAAGCAAAGTGTGCATCTTTCGAGGAGAGAGGGAGTCTCTTCCTCGCCTCCTGACGAGGACTGGAATTAAAATGTAACATTTACTAACCACGACCGACAGGTCTCAGTTTACTGCCGTCTCCCGTTTGAAGAAGTTCCCACACTGGGAGAAGGTGTCTGTAATTGGTTATCACTCTTCATAAAAGCATCGCGCCTGCCAAGCTCTCACAATACACCGCCTAAAGAAGCAGAGAGAGCAGAGACCGGCGTCTGGATGTTGATTATCAGCCCCTTCCCCTGACCTTTAGATCTGTGTGAATCTGAGCTCTGCTGTTTACAAAAGGAGGTGGAGGCTGGGTGGTTTCTGACCTGATGAATCTGAAGTGGTCTTACACAAGCGAAGAGCTGGAGACAAGTAAAAGAGGAAAGAATGCGGTCCCAGAGGGCTCAGAGAGCACCGGCATCTATCAGCAGAAGAAATTGAAGGGGATGTTTCAGAGCG